ACTGTCAAAACTATTAACTTAATATAAAGCAGCTAAAACTACAATTACGTAAATACATACATATAGACGTGTGTACGTACCCTGGAGTGAAACCCAGGAAAAATATTAGTTTACAACTAGAATTTTCCGACTGAAATCGAACTAGTTCGAAAATACAAAATAATAGTACAAAACGATTTATTCATGCCCCATTGCTCTGTTAAATAATGATAAATAATCATAATGATTACTAATTAAAGCATTATTTTTTGGATAACCGTTTAATGACTAAATACCAATACTAGCACCTTTTTAATGATTAATAATTAAATAAAGAATTGGTAATTAATTCATTAATTTTAATTACATGATTATTTTGTTATTTTTGACCATTTTCAATTAATAATATCGTGATAATATAATTATTTCCCTAATTTCAATTATCCATCAACGAGCCAAACTATAGACACAAATTAAGAATATTTGATAACTGCATGAATTATTTATTTATTTTATTCTTATTCAAATCTCAAGTTTTATGCTTTAATTATTACTTTTATAAAATTTTATAAAGGGACTGAAATGAGCAAAGTTAATGAATTTAATTTAATTTAATGAAAACTTTTATTTTTATTTAAGTTCACTCGAAAATGAACTAAAGTATTTATTTTATTTTTAACTAAAATATTTTTTTTATATTTAATATTATTAAAAAATATGAAAAATATACCTGAAAGCTTTTACTTTTAATAACATTTAATGAAAAATGGATTAAAAAAAAAATTAACACTATTTACACTGGATCACAAATTTTAAATGCGCAAGGATTTTTTGTATGGAATGTGAGCAAAAAAGAGTGTTACTCATACGACACGTACACCTGATTAGTTAGAGTGTTTGCACTGAAAACAAGAGGTGTCAGAAATGATTAATTAATTTCTCAGAAATTATCGGGGCTATCGAAAAGTGATCTATACACGGTTTATGGAGAATTTTATTTTCATGCATTTCCCGTATGTTGCATTACGATTATTCAATAGATTCGTAAGATATACATGATTAAGTGAAACCACTATTTTTTAAAGCCGAATAACGGTAAATTGCAAATATCTCGAAAAGTTATCCATAGAAAAAAAAATAATCTTGATTTTCGGAATCAACGAGCAATTCTACGTAGTAATTTCTATAGTGGCATCCATGGAACATTTTTGTTGTAAACAAGTGTTATTGGCAAATTTAAGGTTGCCAACAAAAATGGTGTATTATTTTTTGACTCCCAAAGTAGTGGTTTTGGTCCATAATTGGACTAGTATTTTTTTGTCTATTTTGAACTAGTATAAGACTGGTATATTTCTGACCGAAATCTGACAATTGCCATCTCGTAGGACATCCCCATGTTAAAAATACCAGTCGATTGCATGGAAAAAAGATAGTTGGCTGACTAGTTGGTTCATACTAATTGTGAGATAGTTTACAACTAGTACATTTTTGACTACAGGGTAAATACATACTTATGTAGTATGTATGCATTACAGCAAAAATCAACCCAAACAAGTCGTAAAATATGTGAATAGTGAGAAGAAAAATGCCAAAGTGCAGACAAACCGCACTCCTTTCCCTCTTCAATTACCGCACGAGTGGATTATACATAGAGTGCATCGTAAACAAGAAGAAAAATAAAAACACGAAAAATATAGCAAAACGCAAACGAGCAACTAACACAAATGGCAACAGTCGTAGATTAATGCGCGTTGACGACGGCAAGAAAGCAAGCAGCGACCGGCATTCAGCCATAATTTGATTTGTTTGTTCAAGTAACAGCTGCTAGTCACATGCAACAGGTACCCACTGGTATCAGCAATGTACGACGAACCCTGCAGTCAGAAGCCAGCGTAGGAGGGGCAGGCGGCTGTTGTTTTTATTTAGGTAAGTCTTAGGCAGAGTGTTCAGATTGGGCGATTTAGCGCCAATTTCTCGATTTTTTTGGATATCCGCGTGTAAAAATTTAGAAAATCGCTTTTGGCGATTTTTTGTGCGCTATAATGTAAATACGTCAAAACACGTGATAAGTAGGTTATGGAGTTAGAACTGCAATTTTAATGTGTCAACACTCGTTTTTGTTATAGATTTTGTTGTAGCATATCGAACATTTACTAATATTAAACCAACATTTGTGACAACTCCCGCTGAATGTGAAATTTGCAATTTCATTTGTGGAAATAGCTGATCTCGCCTTATTATAGCTTTTATTTTATTTTTAGCGTCGAGCGCTTACAAGCGGATTGTGCGATTAATCAATTAATATGAGTTATAATAAATTTATTAATTACGCTGTCCTATTGGGAAATAATGTAAATACAAGTATTTTTTAAAAGTATGAATATTTTTAAAGAAAATTTTTTGTACATCATTATATTCGTTTTTGGTTTTAAAAACTATGTTGTGTGTAATTTTTAAAATAAAATATTTTTAAAGCCGATTTCATGAATTTTATAAAAAAAAAAAACGTTGGCTATTTTTCAGAAATGGCTCTTTACTTTTGAAACACTGGTTACAAAGTACATTAAATCCTCTAATAATAAATTTGATGCGTTTTTCAATAAAAAACGCGATTTTTCTTGTTTTTTTCAAATTCAAAACTTGGCAACACTGGTTATGCATACTTTGCACTCCATAGCATGCCATTTTACGTAGAAATCAAAAATCAACAGACTTCAACATATGTAATGCTGTGCGTAGGGCAACCGCTTACACGCAAAGCTCATTTAACAGATTCCTTATTTGACAACTCTTATGCAATGGCAAGTATGCATAACTAAGCCTTTAAGGCCGGTCTACATAGAACTGTCGCGTTGGCTTTGGCTTTGGCGTTGGCGTTGGTTTGACAGAACGCACGTTAAAAGTATGCTTGCTACAATGAACGCTTGGCAGGCAATGCTTGGGCGACTAAAATAACATACTAACGACAGATAAATTAATACTTCATATCAATAATTGTATTGAAAACGATTTCTTGTCCGAAAGTGGTTAAAAAGGAAAAATATTTCACATAATTTTTTTTATTTGCAACAGCTGACGAGCGACGCACGCGAAAAGTTGAGAGTTGGCCATCTTTTGTTTTGTGTTGGTGTGAGCGTTGTCGAATTTTGGCTATGCATTTGAGCTCATGTATTCATAGTCAGCTGTTGAAGCGACGCCAACGCCAACGCCAAAGTTGTATGTGGAGGGGCCTTTATTCGTGCTCTTACGCTGACAGATGTGAAGTGTTTGCAAAGCGTGGCTCATTTTGAGTGATTTTAGGGAGGCGATTTGTATTTAGTTTTTTTTTAGATAATAATGGTATACTAAAGAACTACTGCTTTAAGGAGACACATATACTTTTAAGAAATGAAACAAATTCATTTGCGACATTTTTTTCAAAATTTTCTTTTTGATGCAGAAATATTCCTAGAGCATCTAGGTACATTTCTGCATCAAAAAGAAAATTTTGAAAAAAATGGCGCTTACGTTATTTTGGCGGTTAGGGCTCGATATAGAAATTATAATTCACTTTTGGCGCTTACAGCAATGCTTGTTGTTGTTGCGGCGGCACTACTAACAGCGCGGTTACCCACGAACGTGTACGTGACGTAGCGTAGAAGTATGTAGAAAGATATCAAGTTTGCTGTTGATAGAAAGAGAGAGAAGCAACGTCTACGTCACGGTCATGCGGTGGTGGGGTTTTGTTAACACGCAGATCTCATAAGATAGATCGCTTCAGCTGACATGTTCTCCGTTTTTACGTCCGTGGGTAACTGCGCTTTTAGTCCTGTCTAATTCGGCCAGTCTGTCTGTCAATCGTTGAAGCAAGTACAACTGAAGTTAGGACCAGGAAACGTGCTGTTTCAAGGGGGTGAGGCCTAAAGTACCAGATGTTATAGCTGAGTGACATTAGGGAACTATTTCGATTAGCCGTCGTCAGTTGGTCTCATAAAGTTTTGAACGGTAAGCCTAAACAGATCTGGGCAATCTAAGTACTTAGTAGAAAATTTTGAGCTAGTCCCTCCTCATCATTCTCCATGAAACTGATTGAACTGTGATTTTTAGCCGCTCCGCGTTATATCCGATTGGACGGTGATTTTTTAGACAGCATAAAAATCCGCCAGATCATTATCCACATACCCTGGAATAACGTTTTCACTAATTTTCGTCCAACGTTAGCTGATAATGGTTGACCTGCACATGAGGAGAGGGATTTCTCGAGATCGCCTATTAAGAGCTCAAAACGCTTATTGTAAAGGAAAGGAAGTCGGTAGGAACGGCCATGCAAGGAATGTCGGTAGGTCGCCCTGCCTTCCTCCATATCGATGAGGCTTTTGATTGTTAAAAATATGCTGCCGGAAGCAATAGTTAAGTCGTTAGATAAGCTTGGAATGGAAGTCAGCCTCATTTGGCTTATACAAAACTTGTTTCGTGACAGAACTGTCATAGCCGCGCTTATTTACATTGCAGGCGTCTTCTCACCAAAAAAGGACCCATTATAGAAGGAGTAAAAGTCATAATATTAAAAAAAAAAAATGCGAGCCACAAGGGTTCAATGCAATTTTAAATTTCTTAGCTTTCAAGCAGAGCGATTATGGAGACAATAAAGCAGTATTTCAGCAAAAAAAAAAGAAACATATAACTCTAATCATAAACAATGTATCTTCACACCTTGTAAATATGTGCATGAATGTGTGTTTGTAAAAGTATGTATCTAACTTTAGCATTTTTTTATTTTTTTTTTTTTAATAGGTCTTTATATTCAGTCAGTGTGCGGCAACAAGTCAGACAAAAAAACTGATCAAGCAATTAAGTTTTATTGTTTTGCATATCTTCCCTGCTATTTTTTTCTTCTTTTTTTTTTTGATCGACGCAGTTGTTTACAAACAAATTCCGCTCATCTGATTTTTATGTCTGTCGGTTATTTGAATATTTTCGCAAACGAAGCGCTGTTTTTCAGATCACACATGTTTTCGAATGCATTTATATTTGTTATTTGCTTATAGTATGTTTGCAGAGGCGCCATTGCGCGCTTTTGTATTAAAGGCTTTAGCTCTGTTACTCACCTTCCAGCCGGCACTGCTATTCGAATCGCCTTTATCCTTAAAATATGGCACATTCTGCACCATCCATTCGTAGATTTGACTAAGCGTTAGCCGTTTGTCGGTCGCCGAACCAATGGCGTGCGTTATCAAATCCGCATACGACAAATTGCCCCACGCATTGCGACGCGATGAATTTTTTTTCGCTGTACTCATATTTTGTACGGCCTGTTGCGAATCTGAAAATCAACGATTTGTTTTTAATAACCATTTTAAAAAGGTACTAAATATTTGGCAAGAGATGCAAGCATGTTTTTTGTTTACACTTGCACATACATATATGCATACATATGTATTTATGTATGTAATTGTTTACATTGTCATATTTTTGTGTATAGTTTTTTTATACTCAATACTAGTATGTTGCTTATATTATATTTCAGGAAATTATTTTTTAACGGTAGGGTCTTGTTCTAACTATGCCAGTTTCAATGGCGTTTGTCGTTGACCAAATATTGTACTTGAAAACATGTAATTTTTAAGAAGAAAAAAGTACAACCGACTTCAACGTGCGTATAAAAAGTGATCGGAACCACAACGAAATTAGTTGGTCGCCACACTTGAAGTGCCACCAACCCGATAAAAAAGGATCACCGAAATCGGTTCCAGTGGACCAAGGTTATTCAGTAACTTACATAAAAAAAAAGAATATATTCTGATGGATTGATAACCTTTCAGATTGTTTTGAAGTCTACTAATAATTCCTCAATTGTGAAAGAGTGCTGCTGAATCGGCATTCTAGCGGTTTTTGAGCAATTTTATTTACAGATAATATGTTTGGGTCATTATTAGTATTATGTAATATTATTATTGTGGGCACCTCCAAAGTGGTCTCTTGTACGTGGCCCTTTACCCAATACGTGAAGACTTTTACTTTAAGACGAAAAATTAATCAGAAGATGGCACAACGCTAAAACGGCTAAAAACTTGACAAGGGATGACGGAAATTCGTTCCAAAATAAATAAGCTTTCTATATAATATACGCTAGCACTTCCGTGTGGTTTTTGTTACACATTTCGAATGGATTAAGTGTTATATGTACCACGTTGGGCAACACATTCACAAAGAATGTGTTCTGGCTTTTCTTCGTTCAGGTGCACGGAAAAAACAGACACTCGTGTCCGAAAGGTTCATTTTACTGAGGAGATTACGCAGGCAACAACAATGTCCCATAAATTTATGAGCTTTCTTGAAACTTCTTGTGATGGCCACCTAAGCTTGTCTTTGCTTTGGGCTTTCACTTCAGTGCCCGTGCAGTTTTTTGTGTACCTACTTTTTTATAACTACCCTTGTGTGTGCTTTTATTTGCCCACAAGAGGGTTCCGGCCCATAGAATACGGGATAGCTCCGCGTTTCGCTAGGCGGGCCGATCACCAGATCGTAAGCTTTACCCAGCCTGATTCGTCACGTATTCTGTTGTAGCACCGTGGTCAAAGCCGCGGTTTCTATGTCAAACGGGCAATGAGTATGTATATTTGTAGTAGGGTGGTCCAAATAAAGTAAAGTCGGAATTTTAATGCTCTCACCCCCTAGGATTGTATATCGATTTTTTTTTAATCAAAAAATATTGTGAGATCGCTAAAAAAAAATTAAACTCTGTTTCTCTTCATTTATTTAACCATTTTTTAATATTATCTATTTTTTATGGGTCCCCCGAAACCCCCAAAAGAAAGCAATAGTACTTTCAAAATTTTACTTAAGCAATTACGTATTATACTTTGAAGTCTCCTGACGAGAAACAGAGTCTGCAAAGATCCTATACCATTTCTCCGAAAAAGTTATTTTTTATATAAAATAAATGGGTAATATTTTTCGATTAAAAAAAAAAAACACATGGGTATATTTTTTCGTTATACTATGTAGAATAAATCTGGGAATTGATGGTGTTCTGGGCAAAGAGAGTTATTTAATACGTTATCTGAACAATAGCCCTTGTGTTTGGTCCCTAATGACGAACAGATGCTTTGAGTATCTTAAGGAAGAAAGTGCGTTAGATTTACTACATGGGAGCAATGATTAGGTTCAGGCACTACTTTGGGGAGCTTAATAAAGACTTTCTACATATACTGACGGCTCAAGACGGACAACCACAATTCCGTTCCATTCCATCCCATTAATGTACGGTGGCGAGGGCATAGATGGGCAACAGACATTTTAGCAAATTTTGGCTAATTTTCTATGTCTAAAAAATGTTTATTCTTTTTAAAAAAAAAACGTAAATTAATATTTGAAACTTTGTAAGACTTTTATAAAAATTCGTAAAATTTTAACATCATTATCAAAATGCTTATGTTTTTAATAAAATTTATTCGATTTTTTTGAGTATGCAGTTTTGTTGCCCATTAGATTTGAGTATAACATAATGCAAGTAGCAGGACTTACCGTTGATGTTTGGCAATTTTTTTTTTTCACGCATTTTCTTCTATACAAATGGAAGAAGCGAGCAACACCTTCCACAAAAAAGGTTTCCAAAAAATCAAGAGTAAGTCCTATATACTTAAAAGTTGCACCTTGTTATAGTTAAATTGAATAAGCTACAGAAGTGAACGCACTCAGATCGTTTCTATTTTGATCAAATCTTGTAGAATCTTGCATATTTTCCTATACTTTCAAAAAAAAAATAATGATAATAAAGGTTAAATTAACGTAGGGAAAATAGCAAAAGAATGCTGCAATGTCTCTTCCCTATTTATATTTTCGCCACTGTATGTCGAGGGCTTACANGTCTGACGGCTCCACAAAGTTCTCTGGCCGCGGACATGGCCAAGTATTCGATCTGGCACGAGTCTGCGGCTCAAAACCACCATCGCCCTGTAGTTCGCTGACTAGATCCATGTGCAGGGGAATATCTGTAGGCGGTGGTGTGGGCCAATCGTGCACGAAGCCCTCCATTATTGTAAACGGATCGTTTATGATGTGCAGTTTTGCTGTATTTATATAGGTGGCCGGATAGAAAATTGTTTGCGCAATTTTGGCGGATGCGTATAAGCTGGCGTTGTTTCTTTTTTCAAAATTTCTTAAGAGTGTTGCAGTACTGAAAAGAGAAAAAAAAAATATTTTTAAAATTATTATTGGTTGTGGGAGTGTATATTTAAAATAAAATATTTCTTATTTTTTATACGAGTAATGATTTATAAAAATAGTTATTATAGTATGAATATCAAAAAGCCTTAAAATTCGAGTAATTACTCAGAAATAAAACTTAATACATACTTAACATATGACCTCATTCGCAGAAGTGTAAATATGTGACTTTTCCATATTTTTTATTTGATATTTGTCTAAAAACTAATATAATTAAATTTTACGAACTTCAACTGATTATAATAGCACCATCCTCTATAATATATAGTCTATATATGTATATACATACATATATACATAAGTGTACGTAGAATATATTTTATTAATGTCATGGAAAATTTTTCGACAAGATTCAGCTGATAAATGCAACGTAAATTTTAAAATCCGTAGTTGTTAAAACAACAACTAGTGATATGATCTATAAATAGCAAAGTAGGCATGCATGCATACATACTCGTATGTGTATCAACAAAGAACTATATATGTACAATATTTGTTTGACCACTATAGACTATAGTAATACATACATATGGCAAAGCGGTGGATCAGGCCGCGGCATCGTCGCTAAAGCAGGGATCACAAAATTTGTACATATACACATGTGTTGTCTAGAGAATTTTGTCGAGAATTAGTTCAGCTCAATAACAATTTTCTAAACAATATTTCACTGTAACTGTGAAAATGTACAAATGTACAACACGTGTGATCCCTGCTTAAGAGCGATAAGGAACATAGATACCGATATTTTTCTACTCAATTAAATTTTAATCTAATCTTTTAATGATGTACAATTAGCAGATTAGTTTATTTATTAAACTTTCGTTATTTCGAATGGCTAAAAGTTTAAAAAAGTTCCTAACGGCTGTTCTAATAATAATTTTAAGTTCACGCGGTGTGGCCACCGAATTAACAAATTGTATGAAGCTAATTGTTCTCAATTTCTTTCAACAAATTTAGCTATTTTCTTCTTTAAATCAATAGATCTTCCTTTATAATATACCAGGCGAATCCATAAAAGGTGTTCGTACAAAAACAAAAACTTACATGTATTTTGTTTTTTCTTTCGGTACACAAATATCAAATTTCAGCTATTCTTCGCTCAAGGAAGAATAGAAAAAGCAAATTTTAACACTCTCACTTTCTCGCTCACCCATAAGAATATGTGTACCAAGGGGAATCAAATCAGCTGATCTAGCAACACCACCTTGTATAAATTCGACTTGCTGTGTGCAATTTTTGAATTAAAACTTTTTTAGCCTAGCATAGTGAAATACTAACATGTGAATGCAATGCAAATGATTGGGAACGGAAATGTCTTGGAAATGTTTGCTTTTTTATTGATACTGAATTAAAGGAATGAATGTGATGCAGCGGATAAGATTTAGATTTCGATTAGTACAAGAATAGAAAGGTTAAGATGAATTTGTAGACGAAGGAAAGAATACATAAAGGCTAAGAGAAAATAAAGATATGTTAATTCAAAAGGCAATTATTCAGGTAACTTTAAATATAAAATTGGGGTATACACAACGGTGTCGTAAGTGTCGTATTGTTGTATGTCGTAAACTTTAAAAGCCTAAAAAATATATTAAGGGGGTTCGTAAAGTACCACCAAAGTCATAATATGCATTTTCGCAGAGATAGAGATAGAGATAGAGATAGAGATAGAGACAGAGATAGAGAT